TATTATTGTGTAAAACTGTATGCTAAAGCGGAATGCTAATGGGATGTTCTGCCGTAGTGTGCTGTGCGGAGTGGTGTGTGGTGAGCCTTTGCACTGATAAAACACTGTTGTTTCCATTCAGGAAATAAAGTGGCAACACTCAATCAGAGACTGCTTGTCTTCTTAAAAACACAACACAACGCAGAGTCGAGAACTCTGTTTGGGCCGAACTGTTGCAGCAGGATGAAGCAGAAACTGGTTACATTAGCGTTAGCTGCTGATATTGTTAAAAAGTAATAAAAAGTAAGATAAAACATTGTTAGCAGTAGCGCATAATGCTAACACACATCAAATTAGCATTACCTAATAATGGCAGCCTTCTTAGCATTAGCTGCTCATATTGTTATAATGCAAGGGAAAAGAGTTAGCAAAAACATTGTTTGCATTAGTGGAACATGCTAATTCACCTCAAATTAGCATTAGCTAATAATGGCTACATACCTAGCATTAGCTGCTCACATTGTTATAAAGGAAGAGAATATGGTATTAGCATTAGCAGCGAATGCTTATTCCCCAAAAAATAGCATTAGCCACCAATGGTAGCCTATTTAGCATTAGGTTCTTAATGCTAAATGAAGATAATTAATGCTAAGTAAGCTTAATTGAAGCGAATGTAGTGTTAGCATTAGCTACTGATATTTTTATAAAGCAAAAAGAAATATGGTATTAGCATTAGCTACTAGTGCTTATTCACTTCAAATTAGCATTAACTAATAACGGTAGACTTCGTATCATTAGCTGCTGTCATTCTTACAAAGCAAAGGAAAATGGTATGAGCATTAGCTGCTAATGCTTATTCACCTAAAATTAAAATTAGCCACTAATGGCGTCCAATTTAGTATTAACTCTTCACTTCGCAGGGGAAAAGTTAAAATTGAATGAAAAATAGTGTTCACATTAACTACACATATTGTTAAAAAGTAAGAAAAAACACTGTTACCATAAGCGGATAATGCTAAGTCACCTCAAATTAGTATTAGCTAATAACGGCAACCTACTTAGCATTAGCTGGTCACATTGTTATAAAGCAAGAAAATGTGGTATTAACATTAGCTGACAATTCCTATTCACCTAAAATTAGCATTAGCCACTAATGGCAGTCTACTTAGCATTAACACCTCACTAATATAATGCTAATTCACATCAAATTAGCACTAGCTGCTAGCATCAGCCTACCTAGCACTAGCTGCTCACATTGTTAAAAGGAACGGGAAAACGATATTAACATTAGCTGGTAACAATTATTCACCCCTAATTAGAATTAGCCGCTAATGGCAGCATACTTAGCATTAACTCCTCACATTGTTATAATGCATATATGTGTTAACATTATCGGATAATGCTAACTCACATTAAATTAGCATTAGCTAATAACAGCAATGTGAACAGCTACTGCTAAGTAGCTGTTATAAAGCTGTTACAAAGAAAAGGAAAAAGATATGAGCATTAGGTTCTAATGTGTATTTGCCTTAAATTAGACCTAGGTGCTAATGGCGGCCTACTTAGCATTAGCAGCTCAGATTGTTTTAATGCTGGGGAAAAGAGTGTTAGCATTAGCCGTTCACATTGTTATAATGCAAGTGAGTTAGCATTATCGGATAATGTTTACTTTGGCCCACTGGAAAAGTTCAGGACTCTGTTTGCTAAAGATTTAGGAGGGTTTCTCGATAGCTCTTTGTCATTTGAGAAACAAATAAATTTTGTTATTAAAACCAGCTGTAAGTTTTATATTGTTGATTGTCATTTATGCTTAGGCTTTGGCTCAACCTGTTTTTAAATGTGCTGATAAACAAATGTAGATTTCTTTGAATAAAACAGTGGAGCCGAGCTTTGAGCTCAGTGTGTAACAGTGTGTGTGTGAGAGCCATGTAATGTCCATGTGTGCATGCTGACTGTGCTGCTCTGACCCCCCTCCTCCTTTCAGGGTGGAGCCTGCTGGAGTCCGATGGTTGAGACCAGGTCTGAGGAAGTGTAAGTGTGTTTCTAATGGGATTCATGAAAACAAAGCAGCACACATTCAACCATCTTCATCATGTCAGGAGTCATCATCAAAGTGTCAATCAATGAACAGATGATGGATCAATAACTGCAGCTGGATTGTGTTTGTTCTCTCCATCAGATTCCTGTCAACTCACAATCGACACAAACACAGTACACACAGACCTCCAACTGTCTGACAACAACAGGAAGGTTACAAATGTGGGGGAGGTTCAGTCATATCCTGATCATCCAGACAGATTTGATGTTCGTCCTCAGCTGCTGTGTAGAAATGGTCTGACTGGTCGCTGTTACTGGGAGGTCGAGTGGAGAGGATTCGTTTATATATCAGTGAGTTACAGAAGCATCAGAAGGAAAGGAGGCAGTGCTGACTGTGTGTTTGGAAACAATGATCAGTCCTGGAGTCTGTGCTGCTCTGATGATGGTCCTCGTTATGTCTGGCACAATAAAATAAACACCCAGTTT